TATAGAAAGTTTCACATGTTCTCTCATTTATATGCCCATATACCAATCCCTCCCTTATTTGTGGATGATTTTGAAGCCAATCCCAGGCATCACATGGGTGGGACAAGCCAGCTGCCTAGAGTGTACATAAAAAGGAGCCCCTATCCATAGGTGCTAATCCTTCCTTGTCATGACCAGAGGACCCCACAGTGAGGCCTTTGTCAATATGTCCAGCTTTTCTCACTGAAGCATTATATCATTTCATTTCCTGCATTATATCATTTCACCAGTAAGTATATGAGTATATGTGTGTCTGTGTAAGACAGTAACTCTTCGATTAATAAAACCCACTACATTACCATTATCATGTGTAAAAATAAAAATTCTTTTCTATCACCAAATACCCAGTCAGTGTTCTGATTTCTCTGATTATTTCACAGGACATTTTTAGGTTGGCTGGTTTGAAGGAGGGCCCCAACAAGGTCCGAATGTCACACTTTGTCCATAGAAACTCCAAGTCTCTTTCAGTCTGTTGGTTTCCCCATTTCTCTTTCTATTGCTTTTTTTCCTTGCAATGTATGGGTTAAAAGAAAAGCAGGTGATTTTTCCTGTAAAGCTTTCTGCATTCTGAATTTTGCTGCATGAAAAATCATTAAACACACTGTGTGTGTTCATCTACCTCCAGTATGTCCTGCAAACTGGTAATTAGTCTAGTGGCTTGACCAGATTCTGTGTTTTCAAAAGCATACTTCATGGATCAGTGCTGAATAGCCACGGTCCATAATGCCTGGTCATCTTCCCAAGTGTAGTTTACCATTGGAGATCATTGCCTAGATTCGTTATTAATTAGGGTTATAAAATGGCAATATTCAAATTTTACTATTCTTCCTTTGTCAGCTGAAATACTTTCTTCAAAAGAAATGCCCCTTCATCAACCCTTTGTTTACTTTGAGGTAAAGTTCTCATAGAAAGGGCAGGTAAATGCTTCATTTTCTCCCTTCTGTGCCGATTTGCAGAATATTGAGTAGATTTTCTTTGTTTTCCAGTGGTGATCAAAGGTGGGATTGTTTGTTTTGGTATTGTTTAGGAAATCATGGACTCATAATGGTTTTGGTGTATTTGAAGAAAGTTGTTTCAATGTTTTGCAGTTGCCCCTTTAACTCGACACTTGCCTTCTTTTCAACAAGGCTCATTGTCTTCCTTGTTGCCTTGTCTGACCACACTTTCTGGTATCATCTTGCGAATTTCCAGCCCCAGACCTAGAACTGGCTATTTTACCAAGGGACTCGGTGTTAGTCCGTTTTGTGTCACTATGACCCAAAGTACCTAACAAGAAGGACTTGGGTTATTTATTTTGGCTCCTGTTTTCAGAGGTCTCAGTCCATGGAAAAGTTTATTTTGGTTCATGTTTTCAGAGGTCTCAGTCCATGGTCAATAGACTTCATTGCTCTATGCCTGAGATGAGGCAGACTATCATGGTGGAAGAGAGTGGGGTGGAAAGCTACTCAACTTAGGGCAGCTGGAGGGAGGAAGAGTGTGTGGGGGGGGGGTGCAGTGAGGAGGGAAAGGGCTGGGGACAAGATAAACCTTTCCAGGCACATCCCAGTGACTTACTTCTTCCAACTAGGTCTCAACTCCTAGGAGTCCATTCAGTTCTCAGTGGATTAATCCATTTGATAATTCATCAAATGGATTAATCCACTGATGATATCAGAACCCTCAGATCCAATCATTGCCTAAAAGTTCCACTTCTGAACCTTGCTACATTGGGAACAGTGCTTTCAACCTGGGACTTTGGAGAAAATTCCGGATCCAACTGTAATAAGCCCTCTTTCTTTCATTGGAAAATCACCAAAAGTTGTATATATGAACATTTAAGTCCAGAATTCCAAATGTCCACTTCTGTTATTAATATACTTATTTTTAAAAGGAATATAGTTAAGGGTCTTTGATCATTCAAGACATGAAACAAAGAGAGGAGGAAACAGGGCTAAGGCTAGTGCAAGGAGAAATGAGGAATGGAAGGAAAATATCAATTCCAATTCTTCTCTCCATCCTCATCCATCTTTCCTACCCTGTCATTCTCCTATCCCACTCTGAGAATCATGAAAGACAAAATGTTTCATTTTTCTCTAAATGAAAAGTTGCTACCAGACTATCAGGTGTGGTTGGAGTGGGAATGAAGTTGGATATAGGGTACTGATCAGAAGACTACTGATTGGAAATTCCATTTGCATCTTTTAAAAACAGTATTCCTCTCTCTTTCTATTTCTTTGCCTCATTTTAAAAAATTATATGACCATTTTTTTATGTTTGATACCAAAAATTAAAGCAAAACTTTGGTTCCAAGTATTGGTTATCAGAGACTCATGGAGGTGGTGAGGACAGGGACCAGAGTTGGGAGCTGCAGCAGGACCAGCGGACCTAAAGCTGGAGATGGTTTTCCAATGGATCAAGAAGAATGGGGGCTCTCACATTTTTATGAGAGCACATCTGCACCAGAACAGCTGTATGACTCACTGGGGTATCATTACCTTTGGGATCAGGAGGAGTGTCTCAGATGGAAGGAGAATAACCACCTCTTCAAGCTGCTTGGAATGAGTTTTGTTGTTACTGTTTCAGGGGGAAAGCCAAAATAGCATTTCAAAAGTGGACTTGTTGCTTAGTTATTGTTACCTGACATTTCTTAGTTGATATTTTCTTTCCAGGATGCTTTTCCACAAAACTTATGTTCAGAGAGAGACACAATGGAAATCAATCGCTAATTAAATTTGTGTCTAAATTAATAAATCACAACTATTCAGATCATATCTGTCTGAATAATTTCTATTATGGTGAACATAATTGTTAGATTCAGCATGTAATGAACCATATTGTTGGGTAAAATTCTTATGACAATTGGGACTAATAGAATAAATTAACCTTTATTCTTCCTAGCTTGACATTACATTGGACCATGTTAATCTGAAAGCACCTGGAAGAGTCTCATCATTAAATCGCCATTGTGACTCTCCCGGCCTTCTGATGGAACTTGTGAGGCTTTGGGAAATCAGTGGTGTTTGATTGTTTGTAAGTGGGTGTCTTTATCTACAATCAGCTTTTAGAGTGTTTGGTTCTGTGAGTGCATGTCTTCACGAGATGGAAACAGGACCAACCTCAAGAGCTGGAAAGCACCATAAAACTTCAAAAAAATTTGTCTGGAGCACATGCATAGGAGACTTCTGTGCTCTGTGGTTGGCATGCAGTGAGGTGTTTCTAGAAAGAATAAACCCGACTCCTTTCCTAGAGGAACACACAAAGTAATGGAGAAAACAGAAGAGCCTTCTAGGAAAGTATAAAGGATGTCCATTCTGGAGAAATCACAATATATTCAACTAGAAGTAGTTTTATTTATATCAAGGTATGGCTCCAAGGTTCCATGATTGTCTTCTTGGAGGATATATTAGAAATTTTACATCCTCTTGAATGTTATCTCTTTCAAGATAATCAGTGCAGCAATTCATGCTGGTGTTACTGGGACCATCTGAATGATCTCTGCTTTAGAAGAATCTGGCACCTGCCATTTTAAATGCCTTGGATGGAACACCTGTCTTGTTAAGGTCTGTAGACAAGTCAAAATAACACGTGGTATTTTGCCAGAGAAATGTTAGAGTTCGTAAACAAGTCTGGATGGTGCCTGGCAAAATGCCAGAGGGAGTGGTTTGAGAAATAACAAAAGCAAGCCATTAAGTGTGGAGATTCCTTATTGGTTGACTGATGTATCTAGTTTATGCTAATTAAGATAAGCTGTGCAAAATGTATAAATAGCTCTGTTGTCCTACAATAAACGGCTTCCATTCCTGCTCTATCAATCTACAGAAGTTATTCGTCACCCCCCAGTTATTTTGCTGCAGCCGGACCCCGGCACTGTCTTACCTTTGTAGCAGGAAAAATGGCCCTTGTTAGAACAAAGAAACATGAGCAATGTTACAATTAACCCAGCTTACCTTGTCTACTTGTGACAACATTTAGTGACAATGACAAAAGTCAATGCCAAATAAGCTTCTCCTGTGGCTCAGACCTCAGCCTTCTTTTATCCATTACTAACACGAAGACCAACACTTGGTACAATATCCTCTATCGCCAATTAGTGTCCAAGGTCCTTTTGGTTTTGTATTAACCATAAAACTGACCCCAATAAAACACATAAGTCATGAAATCACTTCTCCTTACCCTTGATCCTGCCTCTCTTTCTTTCTTATGTAAATGGAGTGGGATGGAGTGGGATTATGTGGTCCATGATGTCAATTGTGTCACCATGACTGTCTATTGGGCATTGCAATTCAGTACCCTTCTCCATTTGTTTGTTTGTTTTGGTAAAAATAATAAACTTCTTGTAGGGAATTTGTGAAGAGGGTCATTACTTTTGCTTTAAGCAAATTCCTAGGAAGAAAATTGAATTCAATTGATTTATTGGGATAGAAGTAGGAATAAATACTAACCCTGAAAGATATGTCCTCCCCACCACCCAAGTGCCAACAATCTTGGGATATGTGCAAACATTCACACGTCATTCTATGTGCCACTTGGACTTGCATCATCAGCTCCATTTTTAACTGGTTTAGACTATGATTAAACACCTTCAATCTTCCCAAATTAATTTAAAGAAGTTTCTATAAGGAAGGTAGAAGTTTGAAAAATTAAACTGATAGGATTTAACAGATAGGAGTGGAAAGGGTTTTTTAGTGGGGAGGTGACTCTGCCTAAGTGAACAGCAGAGAGTCACTGACCCTGAGTCTGTCCTGAGGGTCAGAGGCAGCTGCCATGCAGTCCCTATTGAAGAATCCAGTACTTCCCACTCCCTCCTCTGGAAGGAGTTAAGAGATGCCCAGGCTGCTTCTCCATAGTTGGTCTTTCCCCTCCCTCTCCCAGCCTCCATTTTTGCTTCCAATAGTCTGTCCTCAGGCCTCTGGATGACTAATTTTAGCCCTACTGTTACTGGGCTTAGGGTGGACAAATCTACTACTCCTATTGGTCTGCCTGTGGGTGCTGAGTGGATGTCAGCGGTTAGCTGGGCTCTTCTTGGCAAGGATCCCAGTCCCCAACTGAGCTGAGCCTGGAGACAGCCAGCAGAAGGGACCTGAAGCTTGTGGTAAGCTGGTGCTCTAATTCCTTTGCAAAAGTGATGTCTGAGAATGGGCACGAGGCTATTTCATCTGGCTGATTGTGGAAGTGGGAGAGAGACAGGGAAATCTATTCTTGAAAGTGGTGTACAGGTTTGAAGATGGTGTTCTCCCAGCTGCCTTTTCAAAGCCATCAGAAACCATGTACAGGCGGAAATAAAATGAGGTGCAATTTATTCAGCACACCGAGGGACCTTTCCAGGACACAGAAGGTATTTCTATTTGGGTGCAAAAACATTTAGTTTTAAAATTATAAAACACCATCATCTTCTTCTGGGTGATTTTGTCCTATTGGTAATCTGAGCAGCGTGCATATGTGTTTGTGTCTGCAAATTACTTTGGAAAATGCATATTATTTACTTGTTCTGAAGAGGCTCTTAGGCTCTTTTGTCTAAATAGGAAATTTGGATCTAATAAAATGAGGCTATTATGGACTCCCAGGCAAGTCATAATGGAGACTAATACCTTTAAAAATTCAAAATTAAAAAAAAAACCAAGCCAGTCATTTTGGTTATCTATCAGGACAAAGTTCAATATAAACCTCCATAACTCGTTTCTTTCTGCATTCTCTCTCTTTAACACAGGCAAGGCAAAACGCTGGATACATGAGAAAGTGTTTTCCTGGGCTCTGAGAAACACTGAGACCTCTAAGCCTTGTTACCAAGAATGTCTCCTGTCATGGCCTCCCAGAAACTAAAGAGGAGCAATTGGGAGTGTTCTCAGCATTAAGTCTTTGTGCAGACAAGGGGAGTGGCAGGGAGAGAGGTCTCTGCCTGGACATTTTATTAAATGGGCCCTGGGGGAAGCACAGATCCACATCATCCCAGATGAACCCATGACCCTGCACAATAGAGACCTGAGAGGCAGATGTGTGGTGCCTTTGACTTGGAAAACTTTTCTGCCATGGCTCCCATTTCACCCAAGTTTGGTACCATTTTTCAAGTTTAGTCATCCATTCACCTTGGAGGCCCAGACTTTTCTCATCTCCCCTTGTAAAGGTATATTTACTGAGGGGACCTTGGGACCCCCTGGCCATTGGATCTTCTTTCTTCCTATAGCATTGAAACTCCTGTAGCTGGGTTATGTACTGTGCCCTGCTGTTCTCTCCTAGACCTCACCTTCGTCATCTGTAAAGTAAGCAGAGGCAGACATTCTTTCTCCACAAAACCTATGTGTAATTACAGTAGGTAAAATAATGTGCTGGTAGAGCTGTTTTGCAAGAATAAGCAAGGAAACCCAGAACCTCATCTCTGCTTGTTTTTTTCCTCAATTGCTTTGATGGTCTCTGAGGCCCACAAGGCCAGAATGGTCCAGGTTCCACCAGTCACTACTTGAGTCTCCAGGACTAGATGACTGCTAAGTCTTTCCAACTCTCAGATTTGGAGGTTCCAGTTATTCCATGGGCAAATGACCACCTCCAGCCTCCAGGATTGTTTTGGTATATGTAAGATAAAAAGGGTGGAGCCTCTGGCTTTTGTCTTCCTAGTGGTTTACCCTCTTCAGATGAGAAAGCTTGATAATTTGGGGTCTTCTAAGTCAATTTATTTTTATTTTTTACTTATTTGATTGTTTTGGTAACGGGTATGGAACCCAAGGGTGTTTAACTACTGAACCACATCTCTAGCCCTATTTATTTATTTTATATCTTTATTTATTTATTTATTTTTATGGTGCTGAGGATCGAACCCAGGGCCTCGCATGTGTTAGGCAAGCGCTCTATTGCTGAGCCACAATCCCAGCCCCAGCCTTATTTATTTATTTGTTTATTTATTTATTTATTTTTATTCTGAGACAGGGCCTTGCTAAGTGGCTGAGGCTAGTTTTGAACTTGAGATCCTCCTGACTCAGCCTCCTGAGTTGCTGGGATTACAAGCATGCACCATGGCACCCTGCTTCTAAACCAATTTTTATAAAACTGCATACTTGGGGAAACTTCTCCCACATGGTGTTTTCCCAGTTGATTTGGGAGGGCCCAGTGTAACACCCACATCATTGCCCCAAAGAGGGTCACCATACCTTGTATTTGGCAACCTCAATGAACTGGTCTGTTTTGAGGGGGTGTCAGGAGCTGAAACAGATGCCCTTGGGAAACACCCAGCAAAGGGCCGACTTGACTTTCTGGAACGTCCCTGGTCATAAATCTCAGGCATCCTTCCTGGAGGACTGGAGAGACCAGAGTCACTGGGAGGCTCTTGGCGGTGGCTTGGCCTTTTCCACCTGCTCTGTGCTTTCTCTTGGTCACAGGACATGCTGGCTGGCTGGCTGCTTTCTTCTGGAGCCCTTGGTTTCTTAAACGATAATGAATGAAAGATCCAAATCTGTCCCACACAGGTAATCTTTGCCATCTTAATATTTGTTAAGCTTTTTTGATTTACTGAGAAGTTAAAGTCACATCAGATCACAAAACTGCACATTAGATCTGCTTCATGAAACACCCTGAGTGAACAATTTAACTCATTTATTTCACCATCTTTAAACCAATGTAGCTGAAGAATTGCACCTCCCCTTTATAAATCTTTCCATTTATCTCTGACTCAGGTTTATGGGGAGGGTGCAGACCTCGTCCATGCTGCCGTTTTACACATGGCCATTGAAATCCGAACACGGACTGCTTGTCATGGAGAGCAAGCCCAGCTGACATGTGTTAAATCAGCCAGAGAGAAATTTCATTTGGGAAGCCTGAGGAATGTGCTTTGCACCTAGGGCTTCCCTTGGGCATTTGAGATTCACCAATACTTCACCCTTCTCTCCCTTAAATCACCTCTTCTTGTGTTCTTTCCCTGTTTGTTTCTTTCATTCCACCAAGTCCAACTAATTTAAAGGGAAATGTAACCAGTCAAGGTTCTACAGAGAATCCGTTGTCCTAAAAGGTAGGGTTCAGGCTTGGGTGAAAGAGAGGGTTAACACTTAAGCAAATTAGGTCAGAAAAAATTTAGACTATGGCTTTCCTCCATTGAACTCTATTTTTTATTTCTTCTGAGGAAAGATTATATCCGAAGAGGAACACAGTTACTCTGGCATCTCTGTTACCATAGGAGAGTGGAGAGACTTTGATCCTGAATTAAGATCCCAGTGTTGGGCTGAGCTTGGTAAGGGGGTACTTTCTTTGGCTGCCTGTTCTGTTCCTACTGTGATCTAATAAGGGAAAAGACACTGGTCAGCTCTATTGTTATCTTTAAGTTATTTTGAGTTTTATTTGCAGTGTAATATATAATCAATTTTAAAAAGTGTTCCAAGGATATTTGAAAAATATAAGTATTCTGTTTTCTATTATGAAGTTCAAACTCTATTAAATTTGGTTTATGATAATGATCTTCAAATCTGTTATGTCTTTATTTTTTATCTATTGATTTTTTAAAATGAAAGTTAATATTTCCCACTATTGATGTGGTTTTCTCAGTGTTTCTTTATGCTTTTAATAGATTTTACTTCATAAATTCCTAAACTTTTAGAAGTATAAATGTCTATGATGGTTATATCCTTGTGAATTTTGCCTCTTACGACTATTAAATATCAATCATGATTTTTTCTAAATTTACAGTTGTTGATATTTCTGATCAATTTTTCTTTGAAATATTTTATTTGAAAATTAAAAGTCAACAAAAAGAAAACCACCAGCCAAAATGAACAAATGCCTAACATTTTTCATATGTAATTCAGATTTTTAAAGTGAGATATATTTTATTTTTAGAGATGTTTCAGGTTCACAGCAAAAGAGTGAAAAGTGGAAAAATCCAGAGATTTCCCATATCCCTCTTCCCCTCCCCCTAGAGTCTCCCCTGTCATTCACATTCCACACCAGTGGGGTACATTTGTCACAATCAGTGGACGAACATTGACATATTCTTAATTAAAGTCCCTAATTTCTGTTAGGATTTACTCTTGGTGTTGTACATTCTATAGGTTTGCACAAATGTGTGATGATATGAATCCACAATTACAGTATCATACAGGGTAGTTTCTCTGCCTTAAAAATCTCTTGGGTTCTGCCAATTCATCCCTCTCTTAACCCTGATTCCTGGAAACCACTGATCTTTTTACTATCTCCCTAGTTTTGCTTTCTTCATAATGGCATATACTTGGAATCATACAATATTTAGCCTTTTCAGATTGTCTTCTTTCACTTAGTAATATGCATCTGTTGCTTGTTCACGGTTGGACAGCAAATTCCTCTTTAGGGCTTGTTATGGTTTGGATGTGAGGTGTCCCCTAAAAGCTCACGTGTGAGACTATGCAAGAAGGTTCAGAGGAGAAATGGGTTGTGAGAATTTTAACCCAATCGTGAATTAATCCCCAGACAGGGATTAACTGAGTGGTAAATGAAGTGGTGGGGTGTGTCTGGAGGAGGTGGGTATTGGGGGCATGGCTTTGGAGTATATATTTGTATCTGTTGAGTGGAGACCTCTCTCTCTCTCTGCTTTCTGATCATCCTGTGAGCTGCTTCCCTCTGCCACACTCTTCCACCACGATGTCCCTCCTTACCCTGAGTCCCAGAGGAATACAGTCTGCTGTCTATGGATTGAGCCTCTGAAATGGTGAGCCCCCAATAAACTTTTCCTTCCCTAAAAGTGTTCTGGTCAGATCCTTTTAGTCACAGCAGTGAAAAAGCTGACTAAAACAGAGCTTGGTAATATTCCATTGTCTGGATGTACCATAGTTTGTCCATTCCCCTACTGAAGAACATCTTAGTTGCTTCCAAATACAGGCAACTGTAAGTAATTTGTTATAAATATTCATGTGCATGTTTTTGTATGAATATAAAGTTTTAATTCATTTGGGTAAATATAAAAAAAACACACTTACTGGATCCTATAGTAAGAATATGTTTAGTTTTTAAAGAAATTGCCAACTGTCTTCCAAAGTGGCTGTACCATTTTGCATTCCCATCAGCAATGAATGATAGTTCCTGTTGCTTCACATTTTGGCAGCATTTGGTGTTCTCAGTGCTTTGGATTTTGGCTACATAGGTGTGCAGCGGTATCTCATTGTTTTAATTTGCAAATCCCTAATGATGCATGACGCTGAACATCTTTTCATATGCTTATTTACCATCTGTGTACTTTCTTTGATTAGGGGTTCAGCTCTTTGCCCTTTTTACATTGAGTTGTTTTCTTATTGTTAAGTTTTAAGAGCTCTTTGTATATTTTGTATATAAGACACCTGTATCAGATATGTCCTTTATAAATATTTTCTCCTAGTCTGTGGCAGATTTGTTTTTAAAGAGATAAGACATCAAATATAAAGTTTAAATCTCCTCTATTTCCCTTTTTTTGGTCCAATGCTTTCCCTCCTCAGAAGGAATAATTATCATGAATTTAGGGGTCTGTACAGAGCAGATTTTTATGTATTTACTAAATGCATTTGCAAAGAGTATGTAATAAATTTGTGCTTTTAACAATGACTTAAAAAAATCTCATACCATACACTACATTTCAAGGCCTTTTCTCACAGTCTATCTAGGTTTTTCAGAGATCTGTCCATGTTAAGAAGTATGGATTTACTCATTTATTTTAACTGATGTGGAGTATTCTTTAACATGAATGTATCACATTTTGATATTCCTTCTCTGGATTGCACATTTCAATTATTTCTAACTGTTTTTTTCTTATGAACAAATCTTCAATGTCTCATTTGTGTGTGAGAGGTTCTCTAGTATGTGAGACTAGAAGTAGAGTTTCTGTGTTATGGGATGTGCATGTTTATTTTTTAGCTGTCCTAGAATATTGCCAAATTTCTTTTCACTATGGTTATGCCAATTTACACAAATGATGTGAGATGTTTGAAGTGCTGCTATTTTTTCCCCTGTATTTTATCATGTCTGTTTCTGGTGTTTCAAATTTGTTCCACTGATTGCTTGTCTATATCTATGCCACTCTGGTCTCCCTTATTTATAACTTTATAAAAATTTTTGATTTTTCATAAAGCAAATCCTCTTGCTCATTTTTCCTTTTCTGAATTATCTTGGGTATTTGTCTACTTTTACTATTCTTCATACATTTCAGAATAGTGCTAAAATACCCTAGAAACATTCTCTTGGTATTTTGATTGGAATTACATTGAATTTACAGAATAATTTATAGAGAAACATTTTATTGTATTGAGTTTTTCTACCTATAATCATTTTTATCTTGCTATTTATTCAGGATTTCTTTTTATGATCTTTAGTAACATTTAATGCATTTTCCTCATAAAGTTTTACATATACTTCGTTAGATTCACTTTGGTAGTCATATTTTGTTAAGATACTTTGCATTTTTATAGCTACTATGGATTTTATTTTGGTTCCTATTACATTTTCCAATTGATTATACCTATGTTTAAATGCTTTTCATTTTTATGTGCTTATCAAATGCCTAGAGATCTTGGTGTATTTCTTATCAATTCTAGTGGTTTATTTGCAGATAATGATAATTTTGTTTTATTCTTGTCTTGTTGCTTGGGCTAAAATTTAATATCACAATAAAAACTCTTATAAATGAGGGAGGGGGTGATTTCCTTGATCTGATAAAGGGTACTGACTGATCAAAAATTATAGCACATATCATATATAATGGTAAACTTCATAGTAAAAATTTTAAGTGCATTTCCCTTAAAATCAGAAAAAAAGACATCTCTTAACTCCATCTCCTACTACTCAATATTATGTAACAAGTAGCTTTTTTGAAAGATATGTTTAGTCACATTAAGAAAATTCTTTTTGATTTCTAGCTAGCTAATAGCCTTTTGTGTATAGTGCTAAATTCTATTGAAATTCTATATGTGTTGAGTTAGTCATATGCATTTTTTACCTTCAAGCTGTTAATATAGGCAGTTTTTTTTTTTTTAAAGAAGGGTTTGATGCTAAACCATCCTTGCATCTCTGGAATAAAATTCTTTTTTTGAAAATGACATATTTTAATATACTGCTGGATTCAACTTACTAAATTTTGTTTGTTTTTTTCTCTTTATTCATTCATGAAATAGGTCTGCTTTAATTTTTTGTCTTGTCATTTTCTATTTGCATCATCAAGGCTACATTAGTCTCATATAATACAACAAATAGGAAGGTCTTGCTCTAATTTTATTTTTCTTTAAACACATTGAATAAAATTTTCTTTCCTTGAAGATTAAGTAAAACTGGGTTACATGATGTCAGTCCTTTGAAAACAATAGCTAGAATAGAGTCAATGGTAAATGTTCCATGAAAAGAAGTGAAAATGTAGATAGAAATGAAGTACATGTATGAAGACTTGAATTGGGTGTCAACATACCTTATATACAAACAGAGATATGTGTATTAAGAATTGCAATGCAAAAAAATACATGTATAATGGCATAAATTGGCGTGAATATACTTTATATACAAAGATACAAAAAATTGTGCTTTATATATGTAATAAAGATTATAATGCATTCTACTGTTGTTGTGTATTTTAAAAAATAAAATCAATAAAAATAAATAAATAAAAATACCAAATACATGTGTTAAAAATAAAATAAAATGTCAAAAACAAAAAAAAATGTGGGTCTTTGAATCATACTGAGATATTTATATTGAGCAATGTAATATAAATATTACATTGTGGGTGCAGCAATGTAAGCTATTCATCGCCTGCCAAAACAAAGGGTTGTTCTAAAAAATAAAGTCTTTAAAAAAAGGTGGACCAGAAGCAATTTTAGAATTTCACCCTTTATTCAGGAATCCTGATGGTAAACCTAATTTCTAGGTTATTGTTCCAATGTGCTGGTGTTTCTCATTAGTTCTATGAGGGTTTTTCACCTGAAGTCCAACGTCACCTGGTGATGCTCACACCAAATCAGCTTTATTTGGTTACTGTTTGTCTAGTGTGTCTTCCTTTATCTCATTTAAAAAAAAATTTTTTTTTGAGACCAGCTTTGAACCCAGGGGTATTTCCCCATTGAGTCACATCCTCGGGACCCTGCTAAGTTGCTTAGGGCCTCACTAAGTTGCTAAGGCTTGCCTTGAACTTGCAATCCTCCTGCCTTAGCCTCCTGAGTCTCTGGGATTACAGGTATGTGCCACCACACTTGGCCATCTCCTGTTTTTTTTCAAACATGTTATTTTGGTTTAGATCTTTTAAACAGAATAACAAAAGGAATTTTTTGTTACTAATTTAAAAAATCATTTTGAGGCTTCTATCTTTAACAGACTCATTTAATCTATTTAAATCTGCTGTGATTACAAATAAATTATGGATTCTATTTACCATCTTTTTAATTTTTCTGTTCACCATTTTTAATTGATTTTTTAAAAAATAAATGACAGTGGAATGCATTACAATTCTTATTACACATATACAGCACAACTTTTCATATCTCTTTCATATGTAAAGTCTATTCACACCAATTCATGTCTTCCTACATGTACTTTGGATAATGATGTCCATCATATTCCACCATCCTTGCTAATCCCCTGCCCCCTCCTTTTCCCTCCCTTTCCCACCCCTGTTTACCATTTTTTTCTTCTCTCTCTCTCTCTCTCTCTCTCTAATGCTTCTCTTGAATTGATAAACTATCAAGTTTTCGGTTTCACTCTCCAACTTTGCAGCGATTTTGATTTCACTTTTGGCCCATGGAAATGGTGATTTGATTTCGGGGGTAACTCAGCCTTATAAACGTAATTAAACCTATTTTATTTTGTGTTTGTAGTGGAGCAAAAACTTTTACCTGTAAAAATCACATTTCTTTCTTTTGATTCCGGTGTCTTTTCATTTTCAAGTGAATTTTGCTTTGGTTTTTTTATGTTTCTCCATCCCACTTGAGAACCTTTGTCTTCAGATAAGGGAGTTTAACCCACTCAACTTGGTGCTTTGGGGATAAGTGTTATGCGTTTGGCTTTGCTCCTGCCCTTTATTGTTCCCAGGCTGTTTTTCCTGTGCTTTCTCACATCCTTCTTTCCCTTTCCCTAGCTTTGCTGGAATGATGCCTCTTTGTTGTTTTCTCCTCTCCTCCCTTGTGTGAAGCCATTTGGAATTCTAATATCTTGATTGTATTCTACCAGTGAGAATCGTTACAATTTTAATAAACATTTTTTTAAAAATACATGTTTCATCACTAGTTTCATGAATTTAAATGATCCTCTTAGATAACCACACTTCCATTTATCTCTTTGGATTATCATAAAACATTTGACTTCTTATTCCCAAATTGATACCTATTATTTTTTAAATGTCACCTCCTCTTTTTTCATGGCCATATCACCAACACTCGTTTAGGAGTAATTATTCCTGGTTTCATTGATCACAATTAATTTGTGCACAGGTCTTCTCTGTCATGAAGTCTTCATTTGAATGTATATTCCATTTGCCAGTTTTTTTTTTAAGAAAGAGATATAATGGTGGACTTCTGAATATTTATGTCAAGAATTTTCTTTCTTTGTACCCGTTATGGTTTGGATCTTAAATATCCTTCCAAAGTTCATGTGTTGAATGCTGAGTCTCCAACATAGCAGTGCTCAGAATTGGGGTCTTTGAAAGGTGACTGAATCATAAGGGATCTGACTTCATGAATGGATTAATCCATTTATAGTTTCATA